GGTATACGCCGTGGAGCTTGTACAGCGTAAGCTGCATGTAAGTATCCGGTACCATTTGGGACGCGATAATTTGTGACAAGCTTGTGAGGGTTACTGGTACCGTATTACTGATGGTAGACCTACGGTACATGTACATGTAGCTACACCTCTTCCTTACCGGAGAAAAAAACCTGTCTCGAGAAAATCCATCCTTGTTTTTCTCCGGAATGTGCTAAAAATGATATCAGCTTGATAAACGGAGAATACTGTGCATACATGTGCAGTGCATCAGCGCAGGAACCTGTGCATGTATCATTACATGTACCTGTCACCAGCACCAAAGCTCTATACTTTTGTGCACATTCAATCGGAAATTATGAGCACTTTTACTCCTCTACTTTTGAAGGTGTACATGGGATGTGTACCGTACATGTATACATGAACAAGTACATGTACATGCATACACGTACACTTGATATGCTTGAGTCCAGTCACCAGTGGTCGTGATGGTAGAGCCGACAGTAATGTGTTCCGTTGGTTGTGTCTGCTTCAGGAGCAGAAGTGCTTGATCAGACGCAGCAGTGTAGGAGAGTGGGTGGTACGGACCTGCACCAACTGTGAGACGGACTGCTACGCCACCCACGCCAGTAAGGGATTGAACAGGGTATTGGTCAGCTTGCGACTGGTGGTAAGTCTGCCTCTGGCTGGATCTCTAACCCCTCTCCCCCGACCGAACCCACACCTCTACTGGAACATCCCCCATCTCCGCTCCCTTTTCACTTACAGTTACCGCTCCCTGTGCGTGAACCTCAGCCAACTGAACAAAGCCAGACAGCCTGAGAGGAAATTGCACCTCTGTACATTTTTAATGGCCCTTGCCGCCAAGGCCATTTGTGCACATGCGTGCACAATAGAGGGATCCCAATACGACGCATTTGGCGTCGATCTGCGCACTTCCGCATTTGAAAAAGAGGCTGTATGGGTCAGTTTCAATTCTTAATACGATAAGACGATGAAAAGTAAGGAGTCAAGACACAAAATACATAAAGGTACAGTATGTTAAATTCAGACTTTTCAGGCTGCAAAGTTTTTGTGGAAGAGTCCTTCAGGATGACTCGACACGTAAAATCAGAAGAAAAAAAATATCAGTTGACCGCAAACTAACGTACCTGCGATGGTCGTGTATCTTGTGCAGTGGGTGTGGTTTAAACTGAAGTGGCGTCACAATTACGAACTAGATACTCCATGTACTGTGTGGACTCTGCGGGTGCGCGCGAGGAAGTTCAACACAGAGAGCCTCGGTTTCGATGCGGATATGCGCAGACGGCGCTAATGTGAAATCCCTCTATTACGAATTTATTAGTGGAAAGGTCTGTCCCGATGCACAGGACATATAGTGTCCCCATGCATTTCAAATTCATGTATTGCATGTGTGCGATAATGAAGTCCATGTACGACTCTATTATCATCTCTCCCTATCAAATCTTCAGGTGTGAGATTTGTCAGGATTTTCCCTATTTCAGGAGTTTTTGATCAAGATTTTCTTGGTGTCAAGATTTCTCTAACAATCACATTTAAAGTCTGGAAACACCTGAGTGTACCATTACGGTGTTTTGGAGATGAAGAAATAAGCCTTTTGCTAGTTAACTTTCACATAAAATCGGGTACACTCAGTTCTTTTAATTCATGTGAACACACATGTAACAACTTGAATTCTCCTTACTAAAACCACTGTTGCTATACCTCATGATTCGAGGCGACCTTTTGCTTAGTTACATAAGAGACGCCTTGCAACAATACACTGTTCTCAGTGGTTAAGAAGGGCACAAAGGAACCAGTCCATTCCAGAGATGGTGGTCGCTATGCAAAAGCTTGCCCCGAATCACGAGGTATAGCAACAGTGTCTTTAGTCTAGGGAATTCAAATTGTTATGTTTTCGTGCAGTCATATAACTCCGTGCACCAGATTTTATTCAAATGTAACTCGCAAGTGGCTTATTGATGGACAGCACAAGAAATGGTTATTGTCAGGAGTGCCTGTAGGCAAACACAAATTTTATATACATATCGTGGAGTCTGTGCTGCTGTACGGCCCACAGAAAGTCTTCTGATTATTTTGTGGAAATTTCGTTTTTCCTCATCTCGCCCCCTGAATCTTTTAGTTCTCCTTTAATTGCAGAGTGACGCCGACAAGCAAGACGCCCTTCGCAGGTCACCCGACTTTTCGCAGCTCTTCCGCATTGTCCTCTACGAAGTCAGCAAGACAAAAAGCCCAACGTTAGGTGAGTTAGACCGACCCGTTTTGTAAGCGTGGGCACTTCCACAATGTCATCGGCCACGCCGCTCAGTGCATACGAGCTTGCATGTATGAGACCATGACTGTCTAAGGACCGCACACCAACGAAACCACATGTTTAATTTACGGATTGAGTAAGCCTTTTAGTGAGTGAACTTGGGATGAAATCTGGTACTCTAAGTTATCTGACATTGTCTGATTGCCCTCAAACATAATTTGAATTCTCCAGCCTGAAGACACTTGCTATACCTCGTGATTCAGGGCAAGCTTTTGCATAGAGTCCACCATCTCTGGCATGGAGTGGTCCCTTTGTGCCCTTTTTATCAATTGAAAAGAGGGGATTGGTGCAAGCCGTCTCTTATGTAACTGAGCGAAAGCTTGCCCTGAATCACGAGGTACTCGCATATCAACAGTGGAGAATTCAAATTGTTATGTTCACTTGAATTTGAAGAACACAGTGTACCAGATTTTGTTCCAATTTAACGTGCAAAATGCTCGTTAACCCCTTCACGGCGGGATTATTTTGACCGTGACTGCTGGGCTGTGGTATGCCCTGAATGGAGGGCTTTGTCCAGCAGCAGGCCCCATTGAACCAGCAGCTGCATGGTGAATAGACTGTATGTGTGGTATGCACTAATCCTCACACAACGGTGCGGTAGTAACAGTCCTCCGTAGCGAAGGGGTTAAAACATCAAAGATGTATTTACGCACAAGATGCGCTGTTACATGCATACCAAGTTCGAAGTTTCAAAATGATTACGCATAGCACAGTAGGATAGCTTTAGTTCTTATGGTGGGGGAATCCCTTCCGTCCCCTTGGCCATGAGATGGTCCTCTTTGAGGGCTAATTAAAAGAAGTGTGTTGCATACATGCAGAAACAGCTCAAAGTCCATATGTGCAGAGCTGCCGTATTCACTTTTGTTCGCCAATCTTCGGAATGCCTGTGTTCAGTTTTTTCACATCCTCCGCCCATTCTGTAGGGCACCCAAGCACCAGCAGTCAAGACGCCCTCAAGAAGACAGTGGGAGACTTGCAGGATCAACTGACACGGTATCTGACTAAAGAGCGGACGTCGATGGAAGAGCGAATCAAGTAAGGAGGCAGTTTTTCTTGTAGCGTTTGTCCTTGTGCAAAATATCGTGCAAGAATTTAGGGTGATCTCATGATAAGAATGTAACTTTCCCCGCACAGACATGTACACTTTGTTTCTATCGGCGGATTTCTTTGAATTAAATGTATTTTGAGGCCTTATATTGAGTTTTCCAACAAAAATGAAGCATGTTAAGAGTAATTTCCTGTGTTCTCAGCTACTTGTGCTTATTTTGGGAATTTTCCGAAAAGAAGCATACTAAAACGAAATTTTGCAGCTCAGTAGGAAACGAGATTCACTGCCAGTCGAGCATGGTACAGTTGATGTGGGATCCACATTATAGCAGCAACTGATGTACATTAAGTTTTCGTTACAGTATTTATGGTCATCAACTCTGACATTTTGAAACACACTATCGGCACAATAGCAATAAGAAGTCAAGACCAAAGTTAAGAATTTTTAAGCGACTCGTAACAGGTGACCAACAGATACATGTACCAGTTTGTTCAAAGTTTTTCAATTCACATTATTTTTTCAGTTTCCATTACAAACCCAAAATGCATATCGTGATTTTCAAAATGGAAAAATACATGTGGGTCATTCCATGAGGTTGGCACAATTTGTGACGGTGTCGTTGTTACATGGGTAAGTTTAGAGTAGGTCATTTACTCTGTAAAAATAACACACCCCTCTGTGTTCAGCCTTGCAAGATGTATAACAATGTCAATGTGGAATCCACACGCAGGGAAATAGCTGGTCATTCTTATGGAACCCACCAATTGTGGCCCAGCCTCATGGAATGACCGATGTATCTTTTTCACGGTCTGTTGAAATTAGTGGGCAGTGTCACGGACTGATACAATATTTGTTTGCATGTTTGCATACTGATTTGATGATTGGATAGGGAGTTTGCAGAAGATCAGCAGGCAGCGTATACCGCTCTACAGAAGAAAGCATACAGGGACAAGAATCTTATGGTCGGGTGAGTGCTGAGCTGTTCTTCAGCGGTGTATTTAAACAGATGTCTATAACAAATAGCGTCAGGTACAGTAGGATTGTTCCAGCGCATCACAGAGTGAACAGTTGCGTTTAGGCCAGTACACGCACACGTACGTCATGGAGGAGAAATGCAACACCTGTACAAATAGAGGTGTCTGGGGAAGGCAATAACCCAGCCCCTGCTAAATGCAACGGAATGCTCAAGCGGTGAGAAGCTTTGACGCGTTGGTGCAAAGGACACTGCGTGGCTTGGTAAGGCCTGGGTTTGACCCTGAATCCACCATTGCATTCTGATGCATTCTGTTGGATTCGGCAGGGGTCCCGTTTCAGTTTGTTGCATTCTGTTGCATTCAGCAAGGGTCTCGTTTCAATTGTGTTGAATTCTGTTGGATTCGGCAGGGGTCCCATTTCAGTTTGTTGCATTCTGTTGCATTCAGCAAGGGTCTCGTTTCAATTGTGTTGCATTCTGTTGGATTCGGCAGGGGTCTCGTTTCAGTTTGTTGCATTCAGCAAGGGTCTCGCTTCCGTTGTGTTGCATTCTGTTGCATTCAGCTGGGGTCCCGTTTCAGTTGTGTTGCATTCTGTTGGATTCGGCAAGGGGTCTCGCTTCCGTTGTGTTGCATTCTGTTGCATTCAGCTGGGGTCCCGTTTCAGTTGTGTTGCATTCTGTTGGATTCGGCAGGAGTCTCCCCTTCGTTGTGTTGCATTCAGCTGGGGTCCCGTTTCAGTTGTGTTCCATTCTGTTGGATTCAGCAAGGGTCTCACTTCCGTTGTGTTGCATTCTGTTGCATTCAGCTGGGGTCCCGTTTCGATTGGGTTTCATTCTGTTCGATTTACTGAGAGAGAACCCAAAGCGCTAGCGTTAAGACCTCCAAATAGTAGAAAATGGTCCAGTCACCTGCCCTTTCAGATCTTGGCAGTGCATATGGTGTACTGGCAGATTAAAGCGAAATGTGGGCTATCCGCTCCGAGCGGGAACAAAAGAGGGCGTGTTTTTAAATTAAATTGACAGCCCTTTGGTATCAACTTGCTGCATAGGCGCGCAATTTTATGCGTGTTTGGCGCGGGGCACGCTGAGTATGTGCAGCAGATTTATCGCTGAATTTACATGTGTGGTTTTGGCGTGCATGCGAAGTACCCGATTTGAAAACTCATTGCTGTCTGTCTTTCTTTCGCCAGTGAGGGTGCACTTCAAATCAGTGCGGGGTACAAGTACCTAGAGAGACAGCCGTTCCGGGTCTGCTGTGTATTTTCTGCAATTCTGCCTTCGTACACACATTATATTGTAGCTTCCCGCTGAAGGTTCCCTGTAATGTTACCCCACTCAGACAAGGTGTTCTGCGATTATTGTCAGTAAAGTTCGACTCTGCTGTCTACAAAAGAGCTCTTTTCACAGACAATGAAACAGTTCAACTATTCATTACAGTGCATCTTGTTTGGAAGTTCAACGGTGGATCCAACCTTGGCGCAGAAGCGAACACAAATGCAAGAATCAAGCAAATTGTCTGCAGCTGTCACAACGTCATTTTTTTTTTTCACTTTCCTGTTTGCATAAAGTCCGAACTGGCCCAGACTTTAAACAAGAGTGATGGGTTTGAACACCTGGCGATGCTGTAAAATCGAAACCTAATTTTGCCAATAAGCCAGAAACTCGTAACAGCCTTTCACAGAAATAGAAAACACACAAAAACAAACTGAAACAGGTGTCACAGATTCTACAAATAAAGATCGTATAGTGGTGTCTGAACTCAAATACATGTATTGATCCCGCGATTACTTGCCTAGTTTTAGCTTACTGCTCGGTGGAGTACTTGAACCGTTCTCCAGCAGTCTGCCGTTCGAATCCCCGCTTACGGTCACGACTGTCTTCCCTATCTGTTCTTCTGCACCCCAGATTGATGGTGGACGCCGACGAGAAGAGCCTGGAAGACTCCATCACGGAAGCCATGCTGGAGACGACCCTGACCCCACCGCACACCCCACTCAGCCTCAGCAATACTAAGAACAAGGGTGAGGGCGCTCTACCCCTTTCAGAGTCCCGGAAGGGTTTCTCCTGCCCAATCAACTCTGAGACAGACCACCACACCAATTTTGTGACCACCTGGGGCTTTTTTGTTGAATGTTACCAACTTAAGCTTAAAATAGACAAAGACGGAAGGAAATACACCAAATCAATTTGGATATTTTGAAAGACGTCAGTTTCATTCAGAATGGTGAAGAGGGACACAGGTATAAGATGAATTGATTTTAGTGGGGAAATTGGAAGTATACTGTTATACAATTCAAATTTATTTTAGGCCTTTTTGAAAACACTCACTTTTGTTTTTTACGCACTAGAATTGTAGCAAAATTTGTTTGACCACCTCAAACATATCAGTTCGCCAGGGGAAAAGCCCGAGTCCCGGGAGGGGGTGGAGCTATCATGGCATGGTGGAAGGAACATTTCTTTCGCAATGGAAAAAAGAACATACATTGTGCATACCTGTCCATTGAGCCATGCAAACATGTTCATTTCAGTATTCCAACAGTGCATGCGTCAAACGAAGCATGTTGAAAGTCAGTCACAGCCATACCGGTGCCTGCCTACGAGGTTTGCCCATGCACGGACTTACGCACGGGCTTTGTTTTCAAACAACGTCGCCTTTTTGAAGTAACAGACTAACGTACTGTACGGGACTTGATGGTTTTTATGGGAGTGAAATACAGTGGACCAGTTTCATGCGGAATCGGTCACTCTTTTCTTCTGTTCACAGTGAATTTGAATGCACCCCCGCTCAGCATGAGTTATCCCAGGTCGTTTCACGGCGGAGCGCCGGCCCCGAAGGATAAACCGCGAGAAGCACCGGTCAAAGTGAGTTGTGTCGCCGGGTAGCACATTCCCTGCCGTCGCAATCTAGACCAGTGAGAGTGGAGATCATAGCTTTCCTATGCCCCGATTTCATTGAAACTTGGCATGCGTGTAGACTCATTGTGAGTGCATCTCTGAAATCCAACACTGAGCTTTGATCATTTTATGTTGTTCACGACCTCACATGTGTTGGCCTGCATGCATCAAATGCATCAGTGGAAAGAAAAAAATGACTTTTAGGGCAGACCGGTCGTAGAAAAATAGTGTTTCACAAGAATGGTAAGTCCAATTTTCATAAAATTGGTGTTGGCATGATTATAAGACATTACTTGAAACATTCTTAAAGGTTCAGTTTGACAATAAAAATACATTCCAACTTTAGGTTTGCCTTCCTTCCCCATTCTGTTGTGGTTGAAAGGCTTTTGCCCTCCATTGTCGGTGACAGACATTTCTGTGCCCATTTACAGGCATATGGAGGTCAACAGAGGTCAGGGGTCACACCGAGAGGTGTCACCAAGACCAGACAGAGGAGCAACGATGCAGACAGTACGTAGCCCAATTTTTTGCAGACCATGTCAGAATTTAAGATGCCTCGGCAGTGACTTTTGTCTTATCACTAACAAAGTCATAGCCATAGTCCTAACCATATCTGTAGGCATCAGTGCCATGTCAAGCTCGGCCGTATTCCTGCACAGCTCGCCTTCCACTTGTCTGTTTGCTCTGCTCTTGAATATTCGGTTATTTGGATATTCAGCACAGCCCTAACATTTTTGTGAAACCTCTCTCATGCACACAGCCATGCTAATAACCACAAGTAAGCTCCCCTCAAGTTGGCATCTTCATCGGGCAAAAATATTTTGTCAGTGATCGTCTTAAATTTGTGATTTCCCCGCAGCCATGTTTGATCTTGATGGATTCAACGACGACTGCGATCCGTTTTTTGAATCGGATGACGAGAGCAGCACCGATGGTGAGTAGCCCCTCGGGACCATAGGAGGGCGCTAGACAGTCACAAACCACTAACAACCAAACCCAGTCAAGGAGCCAGTAATTGTCATGCCGTTACTAAAGCGCATTCAAGATGCAATCACTTTGTAGTCGCACCTTATCCCCGAAACCCCCTGCTTCCCGGTTCCCTGCTGGGTATTGTGATGCGTGCAGCTGTTGGGAGCCAGCTGCACGTCCAACCTTTGTAGTGTCGTCTACATGCCCCAGTCTCTCAATGTTAAAGGTACTGCATGTTAGTCAGGCTGTTATAAACTGCACTAAAATACTTTCGGCTACTCTCTAGCAGCGTTTATGGGTGATACATTTCCTAAATCGGGCCTTGGTGTTTGCTCAAATAGACCACTCCCCAATGACCACCATTCGCATGGATGGCTGAACTTGACACAAACTGTACCCCGTTTAGTGTCAGATTTTACCTCAAAATGTGAATTTTCCAATTCCTTTTAATAATGGTATCATTTCCATTTCATATTTAGAAAGAGTGGTTTTATTATTTTGTGTTTTGATACATGAAGCTGCATGAGATTCTTTAACACTTCATCCCTTTGATTTTGTAATGATCACTTACCATCGTCTTACCAGCCAATTGAAGGCAAAAATACCCTTGAGGTGTAGGAAGAGCACAGAGCAGACCAATTCTTGGTTTTGATCTGTAATCTCTAACCCTTATGGTCCTTCCTGTTCTGCATACATTTCCTCCCACCCCACCCAGGAAATTAAGGAGTTGTCCATCCAAGCCTGTGCACTTTCTTTCTGTATCCTTTGACCTTTCTTTGCCCTAAATCTCTCTTCTTTCCCTCCGTTTTTCTTTTGTTCCTGGTCCCCTTCTCCTATCCCACCCCCCTGCCTTCCTCTTTCTCGTCAAGACGTAGCTCACCTCGAACCTCCCCCGTCTCTCCTTCCCCCAGATAACTCCCTGAACGAGGACCACCTGGGCCAGGTCATGGCGGGCCGGAGTCGTGGGCTTCAGGACCAGAACTGCGCCACGTCCATGCCCATCTCCATGCCTGTGTGGAACAAGGAAACTCGACTCTCGTGGGAAGAGGGGGAAGACGAAGACAAGGTAAAACTGCTGTCCCTTCCTCCGTAGTTGAAGTCCAATACTTTTTTTTTTCCAATCACCAAATATTGAGCTTCTCATTGCATTTTAGCAGCAAGAAAAGCATTGACGGCAGACAGCAAATAAAGTAAAGGTTGGTCTTTCAGAAGAGGGGGGAAAAAAATGAAATTTGGATTAGCAAAAAGTAACGTACCGTGAAAGCACTCGGTGGGTTCTTCCCAAAACGTTTGTCAGTTCAACGTTCTTGGATCAATATTTATCAGCCGTGCCCTCCCCCCGGTGGGTGTGTCGGTTCTTGGGTGGGGGGGGCACAATGGATTTTCTTTTCGTAAAATAGCCTTTCCATGTTTTTTTTATCCTTGAAAGGATCCTTAACACATTTTTAGAATTCTGGCATTTTAATCCCCTATTGAAATCAGATATTGCCTACAACTCCTCCCCCCATACGAAACTGCTCCCCTTCAGAATCTGCATCGGCCATTACCATTGGCCACTCTACCCTGACATGATTACTTCCAGTTGTTTCGAATTTTTCTGCCTGTCAGGTAGAAATTTGACAAGAATGAAAAAGAAAAGCATTTATGACAGGACTTGTCATAAATGATTTCCTTTTTTTTTTCTTTTTCTTTCAGAGTTGAATTTGGAATTGCCAGTGTTGCATTTGTAGGTCACTTTCATATATTAAACAATTTGAAGATATCTGTCCTTTTTTGTTTCGGTTTTTACAGGTCCCAATGCCCGATCCAGATCACATGGTAGCCAGCATGAAGGCTCTGTCTCTCAGTGTCCAGGACGGAACGGAGATGTTCGGAGACCTTCCCCGGCCCAGACTGAACACGGGGGACGCCCAATCATTGTCCAAGATCAAGCTATAGCAGGATGGGTCAAATTAATACCTGACCCCCCCCCTCGACGTACTGTCGTCAATATGTGAAATGTTCTACACTGTACAAAGAATACTTGCAGAAAATTAGCCAGACGTTGCTCGTTTTCCAACTGGCACATTGCTGACAATAAGTGTTTGATGTCGGACAGTAGCCCAGACTTGCTTGCAGTCTAGAGAGAACTTCATGGCGTGGTGACCTCAACACCTTTTTTAGAGTCAGGACTCATAATTTGTCTCATGGGGTAACTGTCCATCTCGTCTTTGATTGTTACCGTTACATCACCCATCTTCTATCAAAATCTACCGCAGGGTTTTGGAGCATTTTTGCCAAGGGAGAGAAAGGCAGATTGGGGCTGAGCTTAACAGGTTGACTCAGAAAAATTCTCTGACTTCTGTTTATGTGTGGAAGATAAGTCACAGTTCACAAAGGCCGGTGTGGCCCTTTTGATGGGCAGGGAATATCATAAATGCTCAGTTTTTATTGGCCATTTCAACAGTTTTGGCCTTCACTTCTCAGGCCACTTCATTTTTTTCCAAAGGCCGGTACTCCCCTGTGCCCCAGAATGCTGTGAAGTAGACCATGCCATTGCCAGTATTGGTGTCGTTCACGAACCGAATGGCTTTCACAGCCAGGTTCGATCACGCGCAGATACTACAGAGCCTTTGTGGCCGCCAGCATTCGGAGGCCATTTTGGTTTACTTGCCACTTTTTGTCTGACTAAACCCTGCTGCTCTTTGTTCTGTTCATTCGTAAAGAACTCTCCATTTGGGCTGCACTTCCCTGAGGAAGTAGTCGCAAAAGCAGGTCTCCATTTATGGTCACAGATATACAGGCCAGTTATAATCGCACCAGCCTTCAAATTGTATCGGCAACGTTCATGTGTATTTGAAATGACCTTGGCTGCCACTGTCTTTTCATTGATATTCCGTGTGAAAGATAGTGCTCTTATACAAACGTAACGTTCTGGTCATCCGATGACTTCTTAATTTTCATGCCGTTGACGTTTTGAGTAACGTGCAGGCCACCGAGCCACATTGGCCTCTGTTTTAAGGCCTTTTGTGGCCAGTGAGCTACCATACCCCAAGCTGCACAGATACGATCCTTAAACAAGTGGCATTATTACATGTTGCTTCAATTTTTTGTTGTGCTAAAAATGTCGGCAAGTTCGCAAGTATTCTGTTTTGTTTAACTTGTGATGAGAAAGTTATTGTTTATAGACTCCCAAATTCAAATTAATAAAAATTTAATCTTAATGATATACTGTTACTAACGTGTATAGTATTGCCTTCCCAACCCAACTTTGCTACAAATTTTATTCAGGCTTCAGTTTACTTTGTTTCATTCTTTAAGGGAAAAATGATTCACTACTGTGTGATTTCTTAATGACATGGGTATTTATTGTTACAGACTTACCCGAGGAGACGCCTTAACTGCGGTTCAGTTAACGCGTTCATTAGCTTGTTGCTCGCGTGCATTTGGCAAATTACGACACCCTATTGGTCCAAGAGGCATGTAACGCGTGCGCACCACCTGTCCACGAGCGTTGTGACACCGCAGTAATGGCTTCTAATTCTGGGGCTTGTTTTGGCGACCCGTAAGCAGAAACGTGTTTAGAACGTTGGAGCAGTTGGTTAGGGACCAACTCCATCTGACAGAGCCAAGCACAAGGAAGCAGGTGGCACTGTTTAGAATATCATTTCACTCCATCTTCAGCATGTTTGTCACCAGTGCTGCTCTCTCCTTTCCTTTATACGTTCCAGAAGAAAGCATTTCTTTGATTTGCTGCATGTAACAACCAATTTTGAAATGTAGAACTTTACTCATTTGGAGAGCGACACAAATTGTCTGTTTAGTTGAACCGGCGCTGAACCAACTCCAACCTTCAGTTCTTGTTCGGTCGGAACAATGACGTCACAGAGGCATAACCGAGTCGCGATAGCACTTTAACCAGTGACCAAAGCTGAAACAAGTTCATGGTCCGAGTCGTCAAAACGCCCCTGGTTGTCGAGTTACACGTTACTGTAAGACTGTGCGCAGGCCAAATAGCAGTTCAATGGAGTGACGGTTAATGTTACAAATTTTGTTTTTGATTTTGAAAAGCAGTATCATTTTTGGCAATTTTTCTGGACAAATTCGCATTCATTTTCTCTCGTATTAAAAAAATGGATTGTTTTGGAAGGTGTATTTATTTTTTTAGAAAATTATGATGCCGTAAAGTGGGTTGATTTAAACAAGCTTCAAGAGTTACCAGTTTTTGAAAACTTGGAAGTGGCAAAAGTTTGAAATGTCTGAAGATTGGTTAATGTTGCATCATTCGTATTATGTAATCGCTGCATTCAGACAAGAAACACAATATGGAATATCAGTCCGTGCCAAATGTCAGTTTCTTTCCACGCCAGTTGTCTGTGTTAGGTGGACCCAAATTTACTCTCGAAATAAGCTTTTGGCGAGTTAAATTTGAAGAAAATCTTGGTACACTGAGCTATCAGATTGCACATAAACAGCACAATTTGAATTCCCCAGACTATACGATCTTTGCTAAAGGCACTGTTCCCATGCCTCGTGATTCGGGGCAATTTTTTGCAGAGCGACCACCATCTCTGGAATAGACTGGTTCCTTTGTGCCCTTCTAATCCATTGAAAACAGTGTATTGGTGCAAGGCGTCTCTTGATGCATAGTGTGAGCAAAAGCTTGCGCCGAATCACGAGGTACAGCAAAAGTGTCTTTAGTCTGGGGAATTCAAATGCTATGTTCACGTGAATGTAAAGAACTCTGTGTACGAGTTATTTTCAATACCCAGCAAGATCTGGGACGGAGGGGTACCCCCCCTACATGTCCAACCCCTATACACACCTAAAACATCTCCCTGGATGTCTGTAAAGAATGCCCGAGATTCCAATCAAACAATGACCAACACAAAGGGGGGGGGTGCTCTCCGACCCATGTCTTGCCCTAACCCCCAATACAGCCATCTTTGCGGACTTTCGAGCATCAGCGGGGTGGGAGTTTGGTCCCACGGCCTATCTTGTTGAAACTTGGCACTGGGGATAAAACATACTCATGGTGATGAGAAAATTCCAATTCAAAGTTTTCAAGTGGACATAGGGTTTCTCTTGTGTGTTAGTTTTACATGCACATGTATACGATCACGCAATCGCAAGTATGGGTCCGTGTACATTAGCACGTCCCTGGAAAAGAAGAAAAAATGGGCCAACCTGTCATGGGAAAGTGGGCATTTTGTGAGCAAAGTACCAGTGAGAAATTCGAAGGACATTGCGACGATTTGGAGAGAATATGTACATAATGTATCCTGTAAAATGGTCCTATTTACCCGGAACTAAACACTAGGGTCTCTAGGTATCATGGCTCCCGAGATCCCTTGGAACAGGTCATGCGGAGTGTTTTGCAAAGTGCCCTATTTGGGACGTCTCGTTGGAAGCAGCTTTTGAGAGCGCATTTTGTTGGTTCTCGTAAATACGTACTCTAAAACCTGTAAGGAAGCACGTTATCAGGGCTTCTTGCAAAGAATATTCTTAAAAGTATATCTCGACCGCTGCCGGCGGCGAGTTAGAGGGCAGGTACTTACAGCGAAGTCCCTACTTTGGGATATCACGCCTATTGGATATGCGCAAGTGTTGACGCGCACATGGCAAGGCGCCTTTAGACCGATGAACATCTAGTCACTGAGGGTGGTTTGGAACAGAGAGAATGAAGCAAGGTGACCGATGCAGCAAGGTTATTCCAAAAAGGAATTGTTCTCAGGAACAAGGGGTATTTGTAAACATTGGTACAAATTGGTACTTGGTGACACTTAAACTTATGATGGCCACAGGCGTGTGTTCCTGGGACAGCTGCAGTTGTCTGTGACTGTGCTTAGGCTGAGAGACTGTAAGCGAAGATCGTATGGCGCCGCTTGGCGATCTTTGATTGTAAGTGGTGAGGCTGAACACCAAAAAACTGCACTGCACGCCTTGAGTCACAGTAGCGTCGTTACTGTGCCTCAACGATCGGTCTTGATGGTGATATGAATGAATTTCTTTCTATAGTGGTTTAATTAATACCCTCTTCAAGTATGGATTTTTTTTAGTGAAACCGCCCATCAGTTTATCTAACTTTTCTCAGAATAAACGGGTTCACTTTCCTTTGTTCAAAATCAGTGCACTTTTTTCACTATCTTGTTACATCATGTACTGAAGTTGTGATTTATTTTCCGCCTTCAGCAGAACCATTTGCCCATCAGTTGAAAAGAGCCCTGTTGGTCGGGGATACTCAATGTGCAACCGTGATGCGTGTATTTGCTAGTCGTTTGTGAACCAGCGAAGTTCAGTTCCGACCAAAGGGGCCTTTGTCGCTTGGTCTAGTTCGAGACCCAAAAGAACAAACCTTCAAAATGATTGTACCAAACTACAGTGTTGAAGTGGTGACTATTTATACTTTGGCTAATAATGATGATCATTAATTGTTTAAAAACATGGAATTAAAAAAGCACCAAAATCCCTCAAAAAGGGGAAAGATTTTCCTTAAACTGAATTTAAATTGAACACTTATAAGACACATTAACAAGGAATGAATTAAAACTACATTGAGCAGGCCCTTAAATTTTGCATCCATGCATTGTGTGGCATAAAAAAATGTGCTTTTCCGATTTGTTCTGCGTATACTATAAAATGCATTTCCAATGTTGAAAGTTAACAAACTTCCAATTCTGTATGCTTCAATTTTGCACTTTGAAAAAATTGAAGGTAATTTGAAAGTACGTGGGAAACTCACACAAGATTTTGACTTGCTTGTGGAAATCAAACTTCACTGAAAAACGGATATTTCCTTGTGTATGAACTAACCTAAGATCGCCCTCTCTGCATCTCACAAATCGGACTTACAACAGACAGTTGAGATATTGCTGCAGTGAGCCTACATACAGTATATAAATATCATGCTCATGTAACTTGCCGTACCAGTGAGATATCCGCTCCGGGCAGAACAAAAGAGGGCGTTTTTTTGGTGGGGTTTTTTGTTTTGTTTTTGTTGGGTTGTTTGTTGGGGTGATGGGGGTGTTGGGGTGTTTGTTTGTTTGTTTGTTTGTTTGTTTGTTGGGGTGTGGGGGATGGTTGTTTGTTTGTTTGTTGGGTTGTTTGTTTGTTTGTTTGTATTTCTTTGGTACTCACCGCACTGGACGCGGAGCCACGGACGTGTATAATAAAATCTGGACTCGCAATGCCCTTAATCAGCTTATAGAGTCATTGAATCCACTCGCGGCCATTTTACCGAGCCGAATACAAAGCTTTCCTGGCCACGCCCGTCTTTGTTCTTCCTGACGTCAATAGTAGGGAGCCAACCCATGCATTTGTATCCGGCTCGGTAAAAAATGGCCGCTGGTTGGCTTCTTCTTCATACAAAGGCGTTGCAAGTCCAGGTTTTTTTTATAATATACGTCCGTGCGCGGAGCACGCCGAGGAAGCGTAACAATTATTAGTCCGGCATGTATGGTCTTTGCGTACACCCAACACGCGTGTAAGAACGTACTTGTAAACCACCTGTTTTCCGTTTCGCTGATGGGGGGGGGTGCACCTCAGCTCGGGGCGGATAGCTAAACTTGACTTACTCGCCAGAAATATGAACGCGTGACTGTGAGATACGAGCCTGAGGACTGCCATCTTTCCGCGGCGAGATAAGAAAACCCTGAAGTGTCATTAAGTACATATTTTCAAAAAGTGAAGTAGATTTTTCCAAGTTCATTCATGAAGTACACATCTTTTCCAACTCCGTTTTCGCAGATTTTTCCCGATTAGCTCATAGGCCTACTGTCCAATTCGTTGAAAAGAGATTTATATTATTAGCAACACTCTTTCTTTTATTGGAAACAAATCGTTTTTACAAGATATATTTTTCATTTTTATGAGATTATGTTTTAAGTACGTTTTTTTGTGAGAAATAAATTCAAACTTGAATGCATTATATCGCTTGAAAATTAACTTGGAAAATATAGACCAAGCTTAATCAAAACTAAAATGACATTTGTCTCCAAAAATAGAAGCAATGTTTCTAAAAGAATTATCTCCTAAGAACAAACTTCAAGATAAATATCTCGAACAACCTAATTTTGGAAAAAAATATTCTTTGGAGACGAAGTTAAAAATATATATATATATATACATGTACACAAATGTATATACACACTTAGTGAAAACGAACTTGAATAAAATATACTTTACTGTTTGAAAAATATCCTGGATGGCACAATTGTTGCGAGATAACCACTTTAATAAAACTCTGCATGTGGCCTCTCCCTAGTACCTGTGAGCTTCCTTATGAAACTGATCTCTGGACTGATCCCGAGTCTGAATGTGGGCGGTACCACACGGCCGCCATCTATGGAACACGATAGGCATTGCCCGATGGTACAGAACCGAAATTTGAAACTAGTCCGCAGAGGATAAATGGCGCTGGATATTGAACCAGATTCCTCGTGGGGAGACAGCAACCGGTTGCCTGCTACTCACTCTAGCAGCGAGACATTGTGTTAGTGCAGTGACGAAGAGGTGTTTGTGTAAGGTTTCTTTCATGCCAAAGGAAATAATCCCGGAACGTCTCACAAGAAGAAATCACTGAGTTTGTTCAGCAACTGTGACCGAGCACTGTACACAGGCACGTGTATGCCTGTGCGTTAAGGCAATCTGCATGGCTAGATAGCAGGGTTTTTTTTCTTTTTTTTCTTTTTGCACGCGGGTAGGGCAAGGGTCGTCATTGTGCGGTCATTGGACCCGCATCCCAGTGAAAGCTGTTCCTCGTCAGTATCTAGGAACCTTTGATATCCATGGATATAATGACACATAGCGTCATCACTGCCCACGGGCCTGGCGTCCGAGAGATGCCGGTTACACGGCTTAGAACTCGAAGACGAGTGGGGCGATGGGTTGTGCTGTTGCTTCTCCTGATAGTGACGTTGGCCGTCGCCTTCCGGTTGAGGAACACTGGTGTTTTCACTACCGAACCGATAGGTACATGTATAGTAAATTAATAACACATGCCATCGTAATTATGTCCGTCCACTGCTTGGGAAAGGTCTTGATTATTGTGGCTGCATGGTTATTGCTTAATTTCTGGCCTTCTTGTACCGATCAATCCCCTACGAACTCACCGCTTTCATCCCATCCGTGTGCTGTCTTCCCTCGATCCTGCATGCATTATTGCGCCATATCTAAAGTATTTTGTTCGAGGGAAACAAAATGGCTGTAAGGAAACATGCCATACGGACGCCACTAATTTTCCTCAGTGGTATCTGAAAGCAACAAAATGAACTAAAAATCAAGTTTATGAGTATTCACTTGCAAAACACGATTTTTCGATCTGACCATTCTCATTGGGTTTGAGTACAGGGTGCCAATTCGGCGTCCGTACGTGTACTCTACGTGTACATGTAAATGGAATTCTTTCCCGTTAAAATAAACATTACAACGTGTCTCGGGGGAAAGTTCAACAACATATTTGCTACGGGCAAAGAGCAACAAGCACAAAAGGTCATTTCAAGAAATAGACGGTTAAAGGCCACAAGGCAGGATTAGACAGTGCAGTGCAGTAAATCTACACGTGTACATGTTCTGTACATGTTTTGTACATGTACATTCTACATGAGCAATGTACCACAGAAACACAATTCCTGGCAGATTGCATTGCACGGTGCTTTCGGAGCTCGCTTTAAGCCGAAGATCTAATGGTTCGATTCCTGCCCAGAACATCCTTGTTATAATGTGGCATCATATTTTCTTTCAAAGTCGCCACAAGAAGCTGGAGGTTTTAAGAATTAGAGAACTGGTCAATTGTGAAAGATAGTTTAACTACAGAGGACTAGACTTGGTTGGTCCATGGAGGAAATGATTGGGCGAATATTGATGTGTCATTGTAATTAAAACATTGCTCTTTGCTGGATTCTACACCACGTCTACAGGCAGTAAATCTAAAATACTGTTGTCCTGTTGTCTGGGTTCCATTTCCTGGGTTTTGATCTTGATGGTAGGGTTGAATTTGCCGTCCGCTGAGCTCTTGGAGTGAGACTGACGATAGAGACCACAAGTATGTCCCACATGTAAGACCACACCATGGCAGAGACTTACAAACGGGCGAATAGGGCTGCTTTAGCTAACTGACGAAACTGTAAATTATTCTAACATGGCTAAAACCGAAGCCCATCAGACAGTAACCCAAAGCGATTTCACATGTAATTTATGAAAGAGCTTAGACGTACCTGACACACCTGACCAAATTTGAAGCATGATGTAAACCACCGGCTAAAACAATGAAGATTCGGAGACTTGATTATATAGAACATTTACTCTTTTCAGTCACTCAGATTTTGAACTCGATTCGCACGTCAGCCTCTTCTCTTGCAGTTCTAGTTGAACATGGTCTCATGTTTTGGGACTCAAGTTTTGGGACTCAAGTTAAGGAAATCTGAGATGGTGAAAATGAAAGCTCGGTATGATTGCATGGGAAATACATGTATGTTCGTTCAAACTAGTTGTACATCTGCGCCAGGTAGCTTGCCTCCCGGGTTGGCTGATTTAAATCGCGATGTGAATCAAATGATTTGTTTTAAATCATTGATTTCAATCAACATATCTAACTTTTTTTTTAAAAGGAAAAGATGTTTCAATTTTTGAATTCTTTTTGGGCTGATTGAAAATGTTTGCAGCATTTGCACATTTTAAACAACAAATCACCCCTCTGTGAACCTTCCAGTTCCTAGTAGTATTAAAGATGTATGGATGCGCAAGTTTACACACAGTCGATCTGGATTGGCGAGATTTTTTTTTGTTCAGTTCAATCCACTTGTTGTAATTTAAATCAGCTTTTTGGATTCAGTAAGTGAACTTGATGTAAAGATTTATCATTTATGATTTAAGTTTTCTTCATTTGAATTGTCCATTTCAGAGTTTGACATGGCAAAGTCTACCTTTTATTTATAGGTACACACGTATTTTACTGAGATTATAAACGTTAGTCATAATGCGGTGTAACTTAAACCACTAATTACTCCCCAACTCTCCTTGACAGTTGGCTCATAATGAAATCCCGATTTCAGTTGGGCTAGAACTGACCAGTGTGAGAAAACAACTGCTCCATGCTTCAAACAGCAGAGGCCGCTGCACAGCCTTTTTCACGGGGTCCATGTGAAGGACACCCAAAGTGTGCGAACGATTCTTCTTTTGCATGGCATTGTACATTTGATGTAATCAAAAAAGGTGTTTCGCTAAATTTCACTCACAGTTATTTTGATCTGAGCTGCATGTGCGATCAGTTCAGTTTGTTCTTATCTCTGAAAGTTAGTTTGTTCCCCAGATTTGGGTCTGATCCTGTCTACCTATAGATAGGGTATGAAAACAGAATGAAATATTAATGTTTGTGAACTTGACTTCACCGATTTTTGTCTTCACTTTTTAGGGACTCACTTAAAAGCCAACATTATTGGCTTCATCTTCAAGAAAGTTAGCAAAATTGATTTATGGCATCGTGATTCTAATGTTAGAAAGAATCAACAGAACATCAATGTCTCATTGTCCTTTCTGTTTCTTTGCCTCACAGCACCGAAGTTTCGTCCCACCTTATCGCAACTTGTCGATCAACACAAAATATCCCCGAGTGAACCCGCGCCGGGCACGCTGACACCATCGCCGGGGACCGCTGTCAACGATTCCAGGGCGAACGCCACCAGCACCCCGGCGCTGGAGTACGAGTTCGTTGTGGCTCATTACAACGAAAAACTTGATTGGCTGAGGCCGTTGGCCAATCACAGTCACGTGTATCACAAGGGGAAGGACAAAGGACCGCCCTTCGATGTCTACAAGTGGGAGAAGTTACCCAACGTAGGACGAGAGCCGCACACGTACTTGCAACATATAATCTCGAATTACGACAGTCTGGCGAACCTGACTATTTTTCTGCAAGGCCACGGGACTCAGTCCGACAAATCCTTCTGCTTCCCCGACCCCATGGACTACCTGGGTAACGCTAAAAAGCAACTTTTCTGCGTGGAGAAACCGCGGCTGTCCAACTGGGGCAGAATCCAGCACTTTGGCAAGTGGCTGAGTGCGCTGCGCTCGGGCAAGATGCGCAAAGCCCGCAGCACCTTGGGCGGGTTCTACGAAGCTGTGTTTGGCACCAAGCCTCCCGGGTCGGTGCCCAAGTGCCTGGCCGGCTGCTTTTCCGCCACCAGAGAGATGATCCGACAGCACCCGATCGCTTTCTACCAGAGGGCCATTTCTTTCATTAACGACCATCCTGATCCGGAAGAGAGCCATTACATGGAGCGACTGTGGGCATCAATTATCTATCTCAGCTAGACCCTTTCGTCTCGAATTAAGGGTTTTAAGATAAAGAGATTGGCTGACTGAAATTTGAACTTGCGACCTTTGAAAATAGCCAACCCCTGTGGGCAGGGTGGGTCCAACTGAAAAGCTGAGGAATTTGGACCAACGCCCCTCTCATCGAATTGAACACGCCCAAACTCTCTCTCCCACAACACAGAAGTGGAGGTCGCTGGTTCGAACTTCGCTCCTACCACAGAGCCTCTGTGTCCAACAAAATACTTACATATACTTTGTCATGGTTTCAATAAAGTGATTTGTTACTTAAAAGTAATTCGTTTAGTTGACATGAACATAAGTTAATACCTCAAATATACACCGGTGCATTATATCGCATTTTTCAATGAACACTTATTTGGAGATGGCCGCTTGACAATAACTGTGGTCATAGTAGTGACCTGTTATCGCCCTCAAGCAGAAAAGTGGCAGCATAGACGTATGTCGCAAGGCAGGTCTGGGCATCTTGACCGGTCATTAGATTAACTTTTATTTTGGGTCCCAGGCCATATTGATTTATACCGGTCTCAGTCGCTGACCAAAGGTCTCAGAAACGTGCGTGGTCCAGACCGCTTGCCTTTCTTGCTTTCCTCCATGCAAATACTGACTCGTTTCAATTTGTATGTGCGGCCAAAGTTTGAACAAAGGTCACCAATGGTTGCATTCGCCTCAAAATGGATAATTAGCTTCATCGTTATGAACACGAGAGGCATTATTCGTTAATGTTTACCAGAATGACAACTATTGTTTGGTGTTAACATTTGCGTGAGATAAAAAAAAACAAAAAAACTTACTTTTGTGCTCGAGGCCAGCCATACGTTTGGCAAACCTCTGCCTGTAACGTGGACCAAAGCAACGTCTGTACATGTATTACATAATGTAATGGTGTATTTCTGAGTAAGTCGTCTCAAGTCGAACGCGAGGCAATCTCTCAAGAGAAATATTAAAAAAAAAAGAACAGTTAGTTTACGTGACAAGAACGATAGGGGCAAATATCGTTGAACACTAATGGACAACTCTCAACTAGAAACGAAACCGTTATATTTTTGGCCATGAAAAACACTTTACAAAGTGGGTCAAAACCTGCAATTATTGCTGCCAACTGGACATCTTCCCATGACAAGGGGATCAATAAAATGATCTGTCCGCCTTGAGTAGATTCACCCCCTCATCGGTTGAAAGGAGCCATATTATTCGGGAGTGTTCATGTTGATGGTGGCGATGCGGCCGTAAGGCTTGAAGTTCAGTTCCGACCAAGGGAAAATTGCGCCATCTCTTGGTCCAGTTCGTAATGTCTACCGAGCTGGAGGAGATTCCCCCATGCGCGCGGTTCATTCTTTCTTAGTGGTCTGGTTCGATTCAAAGGTCCGGTACCACACATTATCACGTGATAAAAAATCGAAGATTTCCTTCATTTTCTGGAAATATCCGAAATACGCCTATTCCAAAATCGTCGGCGTGAACATTCGGATACTATCGTTAATGGTCGGGTATTTTCGGCCGCGTTTACTGGTCAGCGGACGCGTTAGGCCAACATAAAACACATTTTGCTGTCGTAATGGGTGTAGACCTATTATCGGCGATGGATCTTCGAGATCTCGTTTACACTTTGAAACAAAAGTGCCCCCCACAGTATCTTTTGAAAAGGGAGATTGTTGGCTCCCAGAATGGTGAGATTGTGTAAATTGTTGCCAGGATCAACTCCCTGGGTCCTTGGGCTTTCATCAGAATGCTAAAAACTACGTTTGCAAAATGGTCCTAAGTGCCCTAGAAAGTTGAGGGTTGCCACTTGGAAAACGGCTGTTATCAGACTTAGGAACACCTTTTTTTGGGGGGGGGGGTTGTGGGAATAATTACAAATGTCATTGTTAACCCACAAGAAATTGAAAAGAAATTGAAAGATTAGGGAGTAGACAATAATTTCATTTGTGTTTCAGAAATCTCAGGGATGTTGGTATGCATGTTATGGAGCCCTGAAAAGTGCTGATTTTACACTCTTTTCAATAAGGCTTGAATTAGTGGGCTGTACCTTTAGGGACCGAAGACGAAATCGAGCTGGCGCAACGCCAGCCATCTAGAAAGGTTCTCAATGGCGCATACAATAATCGGAGAAGTTGCGTAATACACCGTTTGGTACGTAAACCAGACAGGTTTGCGGTAGCACCACGGATATCTCTTTTTGAGTATATGGGGGGGGGTTTGAAAAGAACCGGTGGTCCTTGCACACTGTTCGGTACAGAGAGCGACAATACGCCTTTCTCCTTGTAAGTCTTTCTTTCATGGACTTGTGGTACAGTACAGTATACACGGAAATGCCATATACTGTGCACGACTTCCGGAGCAAGCCTGCAGTAATCACAAGCAGTTGACGTGATGTGACGAAACTCTCCTGGAAAATAATGTCATGGAGCATCGCTACGCGAGATACTTCGCATCATCGGTCGTTGTAATCCTGACTGCTATCGTATGCTTGGTGCAGAATTCACATTGGTTCGCTCCCATCTGTCCCGGTAAGAGGGTAGAAAATGTCCATGGTTTAAGTAAGCCAGGGCAGATGCCAAGAACTGATCCTTCAGTTTAAACGAAACCGCTGTATGCGTGTAATAGGCTTATTTCTGCTTCTATGCATGGTTGGCCTCAAAGTGAGATTGGAAAGAAGTGGTCCAAGTGATAGACCGGCCTTAAAGAGGCTGCCTCGATACAGTCTGTTTGGAACTTATTTTTCACTAACCTTGTGGATATATGCTACACTTATTTTACTATAGTTGTTAGCGCAATAGAAGTTAAATGATCTAAATAGAAAAGAGCATCGCGTCCACAAGGGGATACTTGGAGATAAAAGGAATCTTTCAGACAATATCAAACTGGGTTGAGCCGCAAATACAAAATTTCCTTGATATTGAATCTGCCTTTTTGACTATGTGGTTAGAGAAACAATCACGCCTACTCCACGATATAAGTTCACCCCTTCCGCTTAGTTTGTGCGCATGCGCTAAAACGACGCTATCAAAATCCATCTGTGAACATCTTCCACATCGTGTAAAGCGCTACTACGGACAAATGATTCTCGTGAAACAATATTCAATTCGTAATAGCTCGAAAATACTACCGATGTTTATATCGGGCTTAATACGCACGGCACTTTATTTCGTTTGTTTGGATAAACCGGAGAAGTGGTTTTAAAATGGGAAAGACCGTTGGCGTATTTTCTTTCAAATCTGATGGTGTTTGCTTTTTTTTATAACTTTTTAAGAATTTATTTCAAATTTTGTGCAAATGGGTTCATATAATACGGTGGTGTAATGTTGTCTTATCAAGTTATAGTTATTAGGCTATATCCGTGAACTTTATCTGTTTGCATTTTGTTAAACATAAATTATGGTCGCCATCCGCGGAAAGAATTGTCGGAACAGTATCCCAAATCGCCTGCCTCGAAATCCACAGTAAAGTAATCGAGTACGCATGCGCTAACTCTCTCAACTGAGTGGCGCACGAAGGCGTGGGAGGGAACATACGTGACTCTCGAATGTTTCTTCCTCCGGTTAGTTTTGCTTATTGTTCAAATATCAGGCAAGATATGGGACGGAGGGGTCCCCCCCCTTACCTGTCCAATCCCCAGACACTCTAGACTATTGTTACCTAACACCCCCCCTTGAAGTCTGTAAAGAATTCCTGAGATTCCGATCAAACAATGACCAACGCAAAGGCCGGGGGGGGGGTTCTCTCCGTCCCATATCTTGCTTCAAAGGATTGTTCAGGGCCGAACGCTGAATGCCAACACAGCTTTTGTGATGGATACGAGACGTCTGGTGTAACTCTTTTGTTATTCATCATGTAATGCAGCAGTAGCCTTTTTCGAGCAGTGAAATTCGTTGATTTCCTCTGTTCCAGTGAAAAAGAAATCATGATATTCTTGCATCCAGAGTTTTCCCAAGAATTTGAAACCCATAAAGATGAAGCCAGCGCAGACATAATGGCCATCCGGATGCTCATTAGCTTGCTACATTTTCGATGCCCGATTCCAGAGCTTAAATTTGGTTCACGCACTGATTTTAATGTCACAGCAAGCCATTACCCGACCGAAAGTCGAGTTGATACTCGAATAACACAGAATTCAGTGGGGTTAAATGGTATCGATACAAATTTGGTTTAAAGTATACCAATGATCGGTATTGGTTTCTACGGATACTGAATGATGTTGCATGAAATGACTTAATATCACTTAAAAAAAGTAGCACTTTTGGCTTTATCGTACTTGTCATTCGTGTCCTTTACAAATACATATCTCCAAAAAAACTCCTGTAAAAAATATTTTCAACAGTTTATGTTGCATTTTGTGCGTGTTATGTTGGCAACACACCGTGCGGGGTCTCCATATGAGACTACAACATCCACTAGTATCGAACACTGGCCGTGGCTCTTCACCGTTCGATGAAAATTCGAAGCCGTAGTTGTAGGAGACGCGACCAGAACGCCGCTCGCCCGTATTGCTTCGCCCTATACAAACCTATGTACATGTACTAACTAAATGGTACATCGGCAGCAGTGGGGGAACGTACGTGTAGTACGTTTACACCAACGGGGTGCCCATTGTATAGTGCTGGGGATTCTGGGAACACGTCTCCGTAAGGGTGCAGACCAGTAAATCAGTGACCATAGGGGTCCAGTCCACTAATTCAAGCCGCATTGAAAACACTGTAAAATCAGCACTCTTCAGGGCCTAATAACATGCATACCAACATCCCTGAGATTTCAGAAACACAAATGAAATTATTGTCTAGTCCCTAATCTTTCAATTTCTTTTCAATTTTTTTGTGGGTTAACCAATTACATTTTTAGTTATGTCCACAAAACAAAATCACCCCCCCCCACGAAAAGTGATTTTTCTGAAGTACGATTGCAGCCTTTTTTCAAGTGGCAACCCTCAACTTTCTCCGGCACTTTGGACCATTTTTCAACCGTACGTTTTGGCCATTCTGCTCTCATATGAAAGCTCAAGACCCAGCCGGGAGTTGATCCTGGCAGCGATTTACACAATCTCACCATTTGGGGGGCCAAACAATCTTCTTTTTCAAAAGATACTGTGGGGGGGGGGCACTTTAATGCTAATGAGCTGGCCAGAAATTCTCACTTCAATATGTGTTCTGCACCCATAGACTGCTCTGATAAGTAGACTGGTTCCCATCCCATCCAGAGTCTTACAGACGCCCTCCGAACGTAGGGAGCTAGGTCTGGTAGCGGGTATGAAACCGGAGGTATCCTGCCGTTTTTATGTAAATGAGGAAACGATTCCCGCTCAATGCATAAATCAAGCAGGACTTGTAGAATAACTTGCCTTCACTTCCTCGTTACTAAAAATAAAACTTTACCAGGAATTATTTATCTAAAATTTACTAAAATTGTAACTACTGATTGGAAATAATTTGCCATAAAATAATTTACCGTGACCAATGATACTCCTTGAAAAAAAAATGACCTGCCTGTGATCGACAGATGATTAGCAAGGATAGGTTCTTGGGTTGTAGTCGCTTAGAACCACTGGAATGTAATTCACATTAAAACATTGCTATTTGCCTGAAAATATATTTGAATATTCAGCATCCAAATTGGCAGGGCTAATCGCATACGTTAAACAGCAGCTAGCTACCGGTCCCTATATACATGTAATAGGGACAGGGACCAGTCCACTCCGATAAGACGCCATATTACTACGGTGGAACGGCACTTACACACACATTCTTCAACTTGACACGACGCGTGGATTTGGCAAATCGAGACACACCCTTTTGGTCGAAGAGGGACGTAACGCGCAGGTACCACCTGTCCGTGAGCGTTGTGTCTCTGTCTTAATGACTTATAATTCTGGTTGTCGAATAACACGTTTTTGCACATGCATTCTGTGAAATGCCCGGTGTAATGCCATGCGAAGACCAGCATTTTTCAATGGGCACACTTCCTTGTCTTATCCAAGACCGGGGGAGAGATAGTTGGGCTAGTGTCCGATTCTCATGTCAAAAGAGCCAGACCTTCGCTCGCTATACATTGGGGTTATATATCCCCCGTTGACGGGGGGGGGGGGGCTGTTATATTTTCCATGGGCGTAAATCCGCCCCCCCCCTTTTCAGTTGGGGGATGGGTTATTGAATCATCCTCCCACTGTTTTTGTGGTGACCAAGAAATTAAAGTGGTTTGTGGAGAATGTTTCTGACTTATGACTAAAACGCATTCAATATAAAAAAGGAAAGCATTATTGAAAGGTTAGAATACATGTGTATGCCATTCTGAATACATGTTGCACATGTACATCAATTCCATAAATATCGACCTGTTTGTAGAGTCATATGGTTCCATATATGGTTTCATATGGCAAGCCACCCCTTCACCTCCCCCGCCAATTTCTGGCACAAATTTACGCCACTGATATTGTCCCTCAGTTCGTTCCAGGACGGTGACTATAATATGACAAATCGGCCCACCCCAGAACAACGGCTGGTTATTATGGAGACTTCAATAATGGTTTTTCTTTAGTGGAACATTTTAGGAATCACAAGTAAAACAGGGGGAGTCTTCTTTACTAGAACTTCACTGCAAGCTGAAATGGACGCGCACTGCTTAATATTAATTAACAATTAAAGCGAAGGCGTGCTTTCGAGTTGAGGTTTGGGCGTGAAGATGAAGTATTTTATTCAGACCTATACCGACAATGGAAATTCGAAAAGTGGGAAGTGTTTAGGGACAGTTCTGCTTGGAATATAAACCTAAAACATTTGGGGGGGGGGGTTCATGGCGTATCCCTCAGTGCACTGTAAAAACCGTAGGGTTAAATTAGTGTGAAAGTATATGTAATACTTTCCCCCACATCACTCCATACGCCATTGAATGAAAGCCTAATTAAATTTACTTTGACGGAAACACATGGCAAAACAGTTTGTTTATTTTTGCGTGTTTGTTTTGGAGACAGCCTGAGTTTTGCGCGTATAAACAGATAGCAATGACAATTGCACAGGAAACCAAAGGCTGATCGGCGCGGTATTCCCTGTTAACTCCGCATTAATAAGGCCGGTTCATACGTCCATAAACGCGAATTTGTAAGGACAGAAAGAATTCGCGCTGTGACTTCGCGAAAGGTCAACACATTTAGGAGCGAAATTTCGCTGGAAATCTTACGTGACGTCCAATTTGCTTCGCTCTCCCGTTCGCCCGTAGTATAAACTGGCCTACAAGTCCGAGAAAAAATGACTTACTTACCCGACCGAGAGCATTCTTTCATATAATTTTACTTTGTATAGACTTGTAATGTGTGTTTTTACGATTATCTGAGTCTGCAGCTTACTGAATTTGTCACGATAATCAGCAAACTGAGTTCGAAATAGATGTAGACCAGGCCTTTCCATGATACACTCTTCTGCACTTTTTGAACACATCAATTTAAGAGGCACATCCAGACGTGCTGTCCAAAGCGATTGCTTTCAAAGGGAAATACTACGGCGGCGTATTTAGGGTTGACAATTAAATTATTAATATAGACATTTTTTTTGGGGGGGGGTGATCTTTTCAACACTTTGGCTTTTAATGCATTGGTGGATCGCGGCCCCCCAAATTGCACTGTTTATAGGCACGGTCTTATTCTTTTTAACTTTTAAAAATTATAACTCTTTTAACATAATACGGTTATGTTTGCATTGATCTGGTAGTTTGCTTCAGTTAAATGTAATGTAAAGATGTCACGTAGATAGGCTGTAATGTAAAATGACCGCAGCGTATATAAAACAAAATTGAACTGCGTTCAACTGAATTGCATTCAATTGAATTGAACTATAAAAGAGGGGGCAGTAATTCGACCAGGCGAAATATAAATACGCCGATGCCAATAAGCAGATTTTGTAAATTTCAATCATGTCCTGGATACGCTTCCGTAGAATACCTTCTCTCCTGCTAGCACGTACGTTCATAAATTTTGGGGCGCCATTTTTCCTGCAACCACTTCTTCCGCCTCTACTGATCATGTACATATAATGTTGCACTGGAGTCGTTAATCATTAATGTTACCCTGTGTTTTTGCCACGTCAGCTTTTGTCACGTTCACACTCACTTCTGTTTTCACAAACACTGACTGGCATTCGATATTTTGGCGGTCAAGGTCTGCAAACCTTTCACCCTTGGTTTTGCAACAACTTTTGCCTCGGAAGATAGCACAATGTCATTTCTCGTTAATTGTTATCAGATGGATGATACATTCTTAGCACAAGGAGTACGTTTTTCTTGTTATTTATTTGTTTTTCTTGTCTAGGTTTGAAAAGTTGCGTTTGAAAAAAAGAAAAAATAAAGGAAACAAAAGGAAAAGAAAAAAGAAACAGGCTTATTCCCTGGGATTGTCTTCGTTCCCTTGATAAACCTGTATGTGCATTTGCTGATTCGACACGTCAAAACCCAGCAATTAGTATCGTGTTTGGGGCATTGATAATTCCAACGATTATTGCTCGTTTTAGCACTTACCGAAAACTTTTAACGCCCACATGCAATTTCCTCATTTTCGAACCCCCGTTCCATAAATGGGTGAAGCAGGAACTGTGCTGGCTTCAATCTTAACATTACTTCTTAACTTCGCAAAAGAGTGTGGACTCTGCTTTTAAAACCATGCACCCAGCCTATGCAAAACCAACTTGGATCAAAGGCTAAGGTCGACACCAGACTATTCCTCATTAGCATAACAATCAAACTTTTTGGACGAGCAAGAAATGATCCACTACCAGGCTGAGATAGCAGACACCTACGGGGCGTACTACGAGGAACGAGGTTGGGTAAATCAATTTTTTTTCCTCAACCACTCTCCTTCATCATTGGATCTTTTGCTCGTTTACGTCACAAGTGCACTTTAGCCAACCAGTGTTTGTCAGAACTATAGCTGACCGCGTGAGAAAAAACAAAGAATTATTTAAGGAAGTGTAGGTGGCGCTCTATACATTCTAGGTAGCACACTTTGTACATGAACATATCTGCAGTGCACTACTTTTGGTGATAATTTCTGCTGATCTCATGAGAACAAAAAGTGGCCCCACAGTTTTCTTCGAAAAAGCCAAGCAATGAATTGCGGAAATATAGGACCGTGAATCAGACCAGGTTTGGGGGCTTCCATTCAAGGAGAGAGTTGATAAAAATGCAGATAAATAATGGCCTCATAGACCAAGAAATTTAAGTAGAGGGAAGCCATTGGAAAAAAAAATTGCTGGCTGCGGTAATGCTTGGGAACTTCCACTTTTAGAGGGGTGAAATTGTTTTGTGTAAAGAATTTTAAAAATGTAATTGGCTAACGCATTAAAAATCTTAAGTAATGGAAAGATTAGGGAAGAGGCCATAATTCAAGTTTTGTTTGAGAAACTTCAGTAATGTCGGCTTCCATGATATTGTGCCCTGATTTTTGTTGATTGACAGAGTTATTTGTCAGTGGGGTTGATCATGACTGATCTCCGCGCTCTTGCTCTAGCGAAAATGCTGACACGCGCACCGGTCCGCGCAGGCGCACATCGAATGTGACCTCGATGGAAACGAACTATAAAATGATTTTTCGCGCAAGTACTAGGTAAGGCTGCACCTTGACCCGACTCTATAGATGCATTGTTCAGTCAAGTACACGTATCAAGGACCGCCGTCGCACAGTACATATACATATACCCTGCACGCAACTCAGTGCGATATTTTGTCTCACGGTCACTATACGCTTTGAGCTAGAGTAGTGCATGCAGACATTTTCAAAGCAGCGACGACAGCGAGCAGGGTACACTGCAGGGCGCGTGCGCCGGTCTAGGAAAATATGGCCGAGTACCTTAAACCACGCAAGAACTGTGCCATTTTAGTCTTGACCTTTCTCTCTGTTGGTGTTGGTGTCTATCTCCTGCATGTAAAATCCAACAGAGTTTCAACTACAGCCACAGGTGAGCTATTCTTAATACAACAGATCAAGATTTATTTTAGTTTTAAATATCCGTACATTTTCCAGTTGCCGACGTCAGTACGTGTACATGATGCAAATGTACCGGTATAAAGACTGCACACACATAACTAGGGCCTAATTATAATTAGGCCACTTCGCTGGCTCATGTCAAGGTCTGATTTTATGTGACTGTTGGCCCTTGATGTTGTGTTCTTCAAAGGAGATATTCCACTAACCATGGCATTGGTTTANGTCCCTGAGGCCTCTCAAACCAAAAACAATGTGTTGTTTGGTCCGGGAGATTTCGTTTGATTTTTCATTTTTAGTAGGTTAACCAATTAAATTTTTTAATCCGCCCAAAACAAACTCACCCCCCAAAGTGAATGTTGCCAAGCCCTCCCAGCGGCCATTTTTCAAATGACATTCCTCACCTTCCTGGGGCTCTTCGGACTAATTTTCAATTCCATTTTTGTCTGCTTTGCTCCCAGATGGGTGTCCCTGAATCTACAGAGATGACCCTGAGCCATACTACTGACCTTTGCCATTGGCCGAGCTTGCGCCGCATTTCGGTTCGACCGTTTGGTCTTATGGTCTGCAATATGTCGTGTTCAAAAGCATCCGAGGCACCTCACAGATGCTCTTGCCGGAAAAATCGATTAAAAAGCGGAGTTTGTTTTACCGGATCATTACCGCAAAAGCTCAGTTCAAACACATAGCATATTACGACACAACCTAGTCACACGCAGTAGAGACTACTGTTCTACGAGTTTATATGTAGGTGCAGTATCTGGCTTTTTTACAATCATATTGTGGGGGGGGGGTTCTAGGCAGTGGCGTATCCGGCTTTGGGGGGATCCTACCATTATTGACTTTATTTATTTGCTAATTTATTTTTTTGAAAGAGCTTACACTCTCGACACTGTGCTACCGCCTTTCCCAGAGGGGATGGTGGTGTGGATTCTTTTCACGATGAAACAAAGTTGGACCGTCATTTTTTTAGGAAATTATTTACCCTCGACCCGAAACCTGGATACCTCGCTCATGGTTAATTTCCTGAACACTGCGGAGCGTTTTTAGTGACTTCCACTCATAATGTATCTTGAGTAGGCCTACTACTCAGAACTGGGGGTCAAAATATGCAGGACTGCCTCCTTTGGTTGGTGCCAAATATTGCCTGGAATATCTACATCCATTGCTTTTAAATAGGACTCTTATTGTCGTAATTAGTCTAGGTTTTTCCCAGCCAATATAGATTTGGCAGCAAATTGAAAACAGATGACTGATTTTCGTACAAATGTGAATGCACGTTCAGATCAGCATTCATTTAACAAATATGAACCTTCATTTAAGGGTTCGATTTCAAACTTCAGTCCTTTGGGTTAAAGAAAAGCAACCCAAAATTAACCACGCGCATCCAGGCGTTCAATATTGGTCCTAATTTGCCATTAAGCAAACACCTGTGAAAAAGCAAAGGAATAATTTATCACCTGTCATTGTTCCAAATTGAAAGGGACATACAGTTAACTGCTCTCAAAAGGCAAAAGAGTGAAACCTCACTTTAAAAAGAGAGAGTCCCTCATAAATCTGTTTCGAAAGGGTGAAACACAACCCTAAAAACAGGAGAAAAACTACCCCAAAAGAGCGAGCCACTCCTTTGCAGTGGTTTCGGAGTAGTGTCACTCTTTTGGACTGGTTTTGAAAGTGGCTCTTTCCTTTTAAGAGTGAGGTTTTCATTCTTTTGCCTTTATATATAGAGAGTGGGGCAAAACCGCCCTTGGGGCAAAAACGACCACGTGACTTAACATTCCTTCGAATAGAAATAACTTTCCAAATAAAATGAGAAACGCAGCAAAGGCGCCAAAAAGGATTTTTTTCATTTTCGTTTCAATTCCATTTTTTTGAATGCAAAACGTCCCAAATTATGCGCAAAAAAGGGAAACAAAAATACAAAGTCGCAAACAAATATTTGTAACACTTTAACCAACCAACAGCTGTACTGAACATGCTGCTTGAAGTTTACTTACTTGACGTTTTGCTTACATTCTTTCAATTGTTCTTTGAGTCTCGAACTGAAGCTAACCCATACATGTGGTTTACCAGCTTCTGGTTGAGTAGTACGATGCTGACATAGTGAATGGTCAAAATTCTAGAAAGGTTTCTTTTGTTTTAGTTCCTTCTTTCTCAATGAGAGAGAGTTTTCTCGGATGCCAACATCTGTCGTTGCGCACAAAAATGATCGTTACGGTAGTTCTCTGGCCCAGCAGAAAGACTGTTCATGGGCGGCAGAGGCAACAACAGCATGAACTCTCCTTTCGTTTGCTGGTCTCAATATAGTGGGAACTAACCGCAGGACTACACGTATCTTCTCTCACTTTCTCTAGACAATTTCCCGCCTGTTCAGAAATTGCGGCTTGTAGGAGCATCTTCGGCAGGCACGCAGAAGGACGTTGCTGGGACGATGGGTCGGAGCGGACCTCTCGGTCAGAGCGACCGGGACCAGGCCTTAGAATGCGAGTTTGTCATCGCCCATTATAACGAGGGACTGGATTGGTTGAGGCCATTTGCCAACCGCAGTCACGTGTACCACAAGGGGAAGGAAAAAGCCCCGCCCTTTGAAGTGTTCAAGTGGGAGAGGCTACCGAACGTGGGACGAGAAGGCCACACCTATCTGTACCACATCATACAGAATTACGACAATCTTTCAAATTTGACCATTTTTCTCCAAGGGCAAGGACCCTTCATTGACAAATCCTGGTGTTTCCGTCAACCCACGGATTACGTCACCAACGCCAAGAAGGGTGTCTTCTGCTGGGTTAGGGGCAAGTTCGGGGGCTGGGGTCGCATTAAACACCTCGGAAAATGGGTGACATTGCTGAAGACCGGCGCGATGCGAAGGGCCAAAGGCACCATGGGTGACTTTTATACCGCCGTGTTTGGTACCCCGCCCCCAGCCTCCGTACCCAGGTGTTTAGCGGGCTGCTTCTCGGCGACCAGGGCGAATCTCAGGCGGCACCCGATCAGTGTGTACCGACGAGCCATCTCGTTTTTGGACGATCACCTGAACCCGGAAGAGGGGCACTACATGGAGAGACTCTGGTCGTCTATCATCAACGCCCAACCTCCGACCTGAGTCCTTGATTTTCAATACTCTCGGAAAATGGACACGTTGAACACTTCTTCACTTCTTCACACTTTATCTCTCATCTTCATAGTGGTGAACTCATACATGTATGCCAAAGAACCTGTCTTGAACCCATTTTTGACGAGTTTATGATAGGCTTATCTTTTTAAAGTGCAAGAGTGATACCCAGTTCGTAAGTGACTTCGTCATATACACGCGGATGCACCACTAGTGACTGCAGGCTCCCAGTTGACGAAAACTAAAAAAAACACGTCCGCGTTAAGTTCCTGTTCCACGGTTCGATCCATGTAAACTCTATGTGCAGTTGGCGGGATTTAAACTGAAAGTCGCACTTACGCGAACCGGGTTGGTCACTGGTCTGTATCGCCACATTTTGAATGAGATTGTTTGAGAAGCTTTTATTTTGAGTAGGATGAAGCCCTTTGTTTTTCTGTCGTAGAAAATGTTCCGTTGCTTGTGTGATGGGCTGCTTATGCGCAGGTAACACGTGGCCTAATGATACCTGTATTTTGTTTATTTTACTTTAGGTTTTTTTTCGTTTATTTCAATCACTTCCCGATCTTTGCGTTACACTGTGCCTCATCTTTACAGGGGAATACTGTCGAGTATATTTCGTCGTTCCCAATCGGTCTTAAGAGGACCTAGGAGATACACGTAACTTCGCATGTGCAACAACTTGTTTCGTTAATTTTTTCATGGAGCTGAGCCGCACAACTCTTCCGTATGCCATTTTACTCAAACCTGTCTATCCATCTCAGGTATCTCAACAAAATAGTTCCACATACTCTGGGCTACAGTACTGTTGAATTTTACCAAAGGAGTGTGCTGAAGCTAAAACATGTGCGAAACAAAGTGAACAGAAATAAATTTGTATTTGAAAGATTTTTGAAAACCATGTCGTTTTATGATGAGTCTTTTGGTCGACTATCGACAGTCCTTTGAAAGAAGCAAAATGCATTGCAGGAATTTTGGAGAGTTGTTGACGGGGTGGATACCGCCGCACTCATTTAGAGTTAACCTACCCTTGTGCCTCAGAGGGAACGTTTTGCTCACATATAAGGAACCAGAAAGAATCTTTGAGCACCAGCCTTGATTACAATACAGATGAGTTTAAGCAGTCGCCTCCGAACCACTGCACTAACGAAAATCTGCTGCATTAAGCAATATCCCACCCTGCTCTTAACAGGAATTTTAACAGCCCAGGTAGAGTCCCATTGCAGCTTCAACTAACGGAATAGCCCCTGTTCCCGTATAACAAATATTGCTCTCTGTTTAGACACGACGTTCTAACAAAAAGTCTGTTGATGTAGAAAATTGTCAACAGATTATGTCTCCGTACATGTAATGTGCCCTTTTGTTATGAGACCCGAACAAGATTCAATGTCAATAGAAAACAATTTTAACAATGTACATATTGTCAGTGTGCTGCGTATGGTTCTCCATCTACATGTACCTACAATTTGGAAGTATCATAAACGCTTTCCTTGGCACCAGCAACCTCGTTCCTTGTAAAAATACATCATTGTAAAATAACTGACAGCTTTTCTTTCCTTTTTCTGCTGTCTGTAGCTGTATTCCAACCAGCCCCAGTGATCCGCCTCACCAACTCTGAATTCAGGAGTAACACCTCTACCAACACGTCAAGCAACAGTCGCGAGAAAGAAAGTGCGAGCTCTACCGCCGCGCCTCCCCGTATTGTAACCGTGGGCCCGCCCAGTCAGCCGTTGGACTACGAGTTTGTCATCTCTCACTACAACGAGAAACTTGATTGGGTGAAACCGCTTGCCAGTCACAGTCACGTGTATCACAAGGGGAAGGACAAAGGACCGCCCTTCGATGTCTACAAGTGGGAGAAGCTACCCAATGTGGGACGTGAAAGCCACACCTATCTCCACCACATCATACACAACTATGACAATCTTGCGGATTTGACCGTTTTCCTGCAGGGCACAGGACCTTTCAAAGATCCACACTGGTGTTTCCCAACGCCGATGGACTTCGTCCAACACGCCAAGAAAAAGGAGTACTGTAAAATCACGCAGACGTACGGCGGATGGACGCGACTTCGCCACGTCAGCAAATGGTTAAAGATGCTGCAGCGAGGGGAGATGCGGAGGGCGAACCTTACCACGGGCGAGTTTTATCAGGCCGTGTTTGGTACCCCACACCCCGACACCGTGCCCGTATGCCTAACGGCCTGCTTCTCAGCTTCGAGGGAGAATCTGAGACGGTTCCCTGTGAGTTTGTATGAGAGAGCCATCTCATTCGTGAATGATCATTCAAACCCTGAGGAAGGTCATTATCTTGAGCGACTTTGGGCCACCATCGCCAATGCCAAAAGGAATCCATGACTGGTCAGCTTATTTTATTTCCTCGTCTTCACTGATCCGTAGAGACATGTGCAACGCATAGTACTTATTAAACAATCCCTTTATAGAGGGTTTGCATGGCAGCCATCTTGCGGGGTAGTTCTTTTGATCCACAGGGAAACCTCATTGGCAGCCATGAAAATGTGCGTTCTCCTTCACTCAAGTGACGGGGCACCTCAGGTAACCAAAGATAATTCGTTTATTGCTACAGATTGTGCATGACCGCCCAAACGCGTGACGACACCCCTTGTGAGCTCGAGTGAAGAAATCGAACACGCTGGACCAAGCTCAACTCAATCAAAAATTGCAGATGTTATACGCAACACGAACCTCTAAAGTTTGTGAATAAGCATCTCCTCGAAAGGACCCTCCTGAAAATCTACGCAATCAATGTGAACAGGTTTGGTTTTATATATACTCCAAAAAATTAGGAAATTCGGTATGGAAATAACAGTTTATAATAATACCGTAAAATACAAAATAATATGAAATGTGCATTTTGTTTAACCACAATGACGAATAACTCCATTTCAAACTTCCCCGCGCTTGTGTGCGACTTCAAGCCCCTTGTTCGTCGACTAATATACCAAGAAGTCCTGTATGGCAAGCCTAACACGTTCTCCGCCATGGACATTTGCTGCGTTCTGTTTGTAGGAGCGTTCCTAGCAGACACGGCACATGTCGCCTGCCATGCGTTTGCGACATCAACTTTGGTATAAACATCAACGAACCGATGAGTACACTTTATATTCCGATCGGGAGTTTTTGCGGCCATTTAGGTACATTCAACTCAAGGAACAGGTTGGCACGATGTTGCAGCCAAGTGTTGTTTACTTTCTTAATTATCGTAAACAGACGGTTCTCAGAAAGCACCGTCTCTAGGTCTTTTCGGTCTCACAAAGTGACAAAAACTTCCCCAGTACCAGGGCAAAATAGAGACCAACCACAGCTGGTCGAGTCAAGATGTGTGTGTTGCGCATGGGTGCGAACGATATCGAACACGAGCACCTGGGCTCACGTTTAATGTACAATGTATCGATTTTTTCGTGCGCGTTTAATCTCACCAAGTGACACAACTGTGCAATGCAGTAGGGGAAAACGTTAGCAAAACCTCCAGGTATATATTACAGACTAACGAAGTGTAAACAAAAAACTTTTTTAATGAATTACTGTTTAATTAAAACAGGAAATCTACAAATTAATCTGGATTAGCGTTTTCAAACTTTTCCCTGCATGACTGTGCCCAAACTCCCCAATTCGTAAAATAAAAGTGGTGGAAAATGTCGGATGAAATAGGTCATATTTTGAAAAAGCCTTTTTCTTGGATGGCTGTGTTGCACGATGGGGGGGGGGTCACTTTGTGAGATCATTGACGATAAGTGGCCATAAATGGGGCGTGTTATACATGGCGAATACGGGCGATTCACAACAGTGCACCTCCTGGATTTTGCAACGCGTTGGCCAATCCCAACGCGCAACATTTGTCGCCTTGATTCGTCAGATTTCGTGCATTGTGATTGGCCAACGCGTTACAGTCTCTAGGAGGCGCACTATTGTGAAACGCCCGTATTCGTGGTAGTTTGGAAGGCTACTTTTAGCTAACAGATTATTTTTATCATACCAAAATAACCGTGTATGCTTGTTGCGTGAGAACAAACCGTTGGCAGGTACAATTACATGTGTCTGAAAAATAAACTCGATCAAGCTGGAGTTAAATCCATCTGTTCGTGGTCATGTTTCAGGCAAGTTTTGAGAAAAAAGGCACATGCTTCTCCAATATTTTATGCATAGATAGTGGCATTTACTCTACTGTAGATCAACTGGCGTCCCATCCATCAAGAGTCAAAAGTAGTACCATTTCAGCTGAATCTGTTCCCCAATCAAGGTGGGCTTTCACTAATTAATGAAAAATCCATTGTAGCATATCATACGCTGTATTTGGAAACTTATTAATGAAATATTCCCGTGTTCTTTTTACATGGTTTTGGGAATAAACAAGTATTTATTTTGCAAATGACGTGTTTTCCTGGTCACATGTTTGGAAACGTGGTCCTCAATTGTAATTTCTGTGTCAGTTGTGGTGTGGAAAAGCAAAGTGTAGACTGCCGCGGTTGTCATTTAAAGGAAATGGTCCACTTCTGATGGAAAGTAGAATGATGATTTTTTTCCTCGCTGAGGAAGGCTTCCGTAGATGTTTTGTTGTGGAAACACATTTTTGTTTCGGCCTTTTAAAACGTACAGGAAAGAGCTTCCAAGGACCGATTTATTCTTGTCCGGTGGCTTGGGCGTTTATTGTGCGTATACCGCTCGGCTCTAATGAATGCCCCTGCTGTTTAGTGATGCAGTAGGAAAATGTGGTCTGTCAACGGAGGGAGAGAAACCAGGCAGAGCTGCACCTAGAGAGAGTAGCGCCAACTTAAGACTTTGGAACCAAAATGGCTGTTCATTATGTGTGCAGTGCAGGACGCACGCAGCTATCGTGGCTAGTTGTCTGGGTGCACTGACGCATAATCCACCATCTTGGTTCCAACAATAATTGAGATACTCATGTCGCAACTCCTTTTATGAACAGCTCTGACATAAAGGGACATGCGGGGGCCTCCTCTCATACCTGCGCCGTCATGGGGGGGGGAGGGGACTCCAAGCTGAGTTACGCCCATTGTTTCATGTTCTTGTTCTTTTGATATATGGACACGGTTAACAGGGTGAGCAATGACAAAACTGATGCCTTTGTCACAGCTCATTCAAAAAGCTTGTGGCTTAGCTGAAGACTGAATGAAGCTTAGGCCTATGGTGGACCTGTGATGGACTTACACAGACATGCAGGGACTTTATTTTGATGGACTCAAATTCAACATGACTACTTTTCGCAGGTGTGGAATTAGACCCATCCTTCGTTTTAGGGGTGGTCTGGTTTGGGTGAGAATTCCTCCAAAAAATCAGTCGTCAAGCAATCAAAAATGTAAAGGAAAAATAATGAAAAATGTGACCAACTCTGTGAAAATGAGCCACAAGTTGCCCTGAGAGCCACTTTGGAGCAAAAGTTGCCTTAAAATAATTTTGCACAGTGTAATTCAATAGGAGCCCACAGCATTTTCACCACAGAGTATCCACTTTCATCAGGATGCCAGACTAAGGGATACATAAAACAAAAAAAAAACTCAATTTGCTCTTTCGAATACAAATGAAAACTCAAAAAGTGGCTCTGGCAACTTGAGACTCATTTTCACAGAGTGGGTCACAAATGACATGGTGATCATGAATTTTGGTGCAGCCTGAACATCTGTAAGAGTTGTATTTAAAAAGAATTTCGTAGTATGTATTGAGATTTATCAGGGGTGTCTGTGAGAATTGATTTACGGTTGCAGGTCAGTAAATAGGTCCAAAATTGCCTGCGCGGACCAAATCACGATTTGTAGGCTGTCAATTTCGCTTTTATTAGAGCCTTTCTTGGCACATAGACTGGGTGGTTTGTTAAAAAGGTGGATAACATACAGGAGCAGGACTGTCAGCTTGTATTTCTGAAAGTATCGGACCAAACGGGGCCCTGCAAATTGCCCTATTTTGCCATGGAGAGCAGGCATTAATTTCCAAAATGGCGATGGGCCTCCAGACTGTTTTATCTTTTGAATATCTTCAAAAGTCATCGGTTAAGCCACTGAAAATTGAAAGGAAAATGAAAGACGAGGAAGTGAGCTTGGACTAGAAATGTGTCTTGAACACCTGTGAAACTTGTGAGTTTGTTTTGTGATTTTTTTGAAGTGGGGATATTTATCATTGTTGTCTATGGTCACTGACTTACTGGTCTGCACCCTTACGGAGACGTGTTCCCAGAATCCCTAGCACTGCGGCTAACCTGCTCAATGGTAAACAAGGCACCATGCTTTCGACTGTCTTCTTCGATCTTATAGAGGGCGTACTTTTTAAGTTTGGAAGACGACAGGCCGTGCTTATAGGGTGTAGTCCACTAATTCAAGCCCCATTGAAAACAGCGTAAAAATTCAGGGCTCAATAACATGCAAGCCAGCATCCCCGAGGTATGTAAAAAACAAAAAAAATGGAATTATTCTTTGGTTCTTAACACTTTCAAAAGTTTTAATTTCTTTTCAATTTTTAGGGGGTTCACCGATAGAAAATGCTAATTATTCACACACACATGCACACGTGTGTGTAAACGCCTTCAATCGTGGACTCCCTATTGTTCCTCTTTTGTTCATACTTTAACTTTTTCGGAAGACCTCCCATATGTTTTTTACACGTTTTCCAATCAACCGTGGACTCTTCGGCAATCGTGAACCCTATTGTCCCCTATTGTTATTGGTCCACAATTGAAGGCGTTTACACATTCACACACGAAAACAATCCCCCCCCCAAGAAAAGTTCCGAAGTCTGCGTTTGGCTATTTTTCAAGTGCCAACCCTCAACTTTCTCGGGCACTTAGGACAATTTTCAACTGAATGTTTTAGCCATTCTGCTCAAAGATGGAAGCCCAACCCCCCATGAACTTGATCCTGGCAAGAATTTAATTGGGGGCCAATCAAACAATCTCCTTTTTCAAAAGAAACTGTGAGGGCACTTTTAATGCTAATGAGCTGGCCAGAAATTCTCGCTCGAATTAGTAGGCAGCACCCTTGAAAGAATGTTTTAATCGGCATTACGGAGACCTCATCATTTCCTGATTTACGAAGGGAGCCAGTCCCAATTTCAAGAAATTGACACGCACAGTAACTTGGTTACAGAATCAAAAGTCACAGAATGTAACAGAATGAGCCTCACGTTTTACGCAGAAATCAGTGTCACAGGACGAAATAAAGAGGTCACAATCATAACTTTTCAATAATGTGCATGCATAGTAAGGATGGCATCACTATACAGAAACCACTCATGCACCCATTTTGACAAAACAGATGTTCACTCTGTCATTGGTTGTTTAAAATACTGTCCATTCATGGGTCATTTTTGCTCGGTGGAGAGTGCTTTTGTGTGTAACTTTTGATTCAGTAACCAAGTTGCTGTGTATGTCAATTTCGTCTTTGTTATAAAGATAATCACTTGCTTTTGGGCATGTGATTAGTAAGGGGTAATGTGATTAGTAAGATTAGTAACTGTATATTTCTATGGAGTTAATTTTTTATGTGTGGCCTTTGACAGAAGTGGAAAGTTTCTTTTGCTGTCCAGTGTAGTAAGCACCACTCTTAAAGAGTGGAAACGACTTCGAGACACTGAATATCACTCAAAGGGAGGAGCCGTATGAGGGTAACTCTTTTTCGTGTTGTCCTTTATACGGCTCCTTGGCAGAGTAGTTTTCACTCTTTTGGTGTGGTTTTTATGAGGGACTCGCTCTTTCAAAGAGAGAGTTTATTCCCCACGTTTTTAATTTTGAAGAAATGTAAGGAGTGACGCAACATCAGGGTTTTTAAGTGCTTTTGAAATGGAGGTGACATGGACAAAAACCGCCTGTCGCTCATTTCTTTCTGTCGAGGAAGGGCAATGCCCCGTAAGTAGTGTTGCATTCGAGTCCATCACAAGTCCAATTCACAAGTCTCTTCACACGGTCAGTCATAAGTAACGGGGTGAACAATGACAAAAGAATGTTTTTGTCACAGCTCATTTGAGTAGCTTGTGAATTGCCTTAGGACTGAATGACTTGTGATGGACTTATTACAGGGACTAGTGATGTACTTCTGCCCGTTAGCCGCCGTCCTGGACCCGCCCTTGTTCTTGAGTCCATCGCGGAAATGTGAAATCAAGTGGCCAGTGCTCAGATATGGCGAGCGCGACACTGAGCCCGGCACTGGTGAAGCGTTTCTCTGCCTTGTCTTCGACATCATCTTTGGCTTGGAGACGTTCCACGTGAATGCTCTCTCTGGCGACTGCAGTAAATAGATTGACACTTGCCAGCTATTTACGACCAGCCACTGTCAAAGAACGGGAACAGTGGGCGGTATTTTGAATGACAAAGCGTATTGATCAGATGGACACTGGTTCATGCAGTTTGGTACGCAGTCAGTGCTAGTCAACGGGCAGGTTGAGGGACGCTGTCATCAACAGCCGCCGCTGTTACCAAAGACCGTTTTGTATTTTCCTTAGTTGTTCAATTCTGCATGTTGGTCGGTGCGTAGTCATCCGAGGTCGGCTTGACCATGCATCTTCGTAAACTGATTCTGCCGTGCCTGGGGTTGGTGCTTCTCTCCCTGATGATTGTCGCTGTTTTAAGACCCGCATGTCCATATTCTTCACCTACAAATGGTAGGCATTGTTATGTTGTGTGTCATTTCATCTGCTGGTGCCGCAGTTGAAATGTCTTGTAAATCCTGTCACGACCATGAACAGACCACAGACATACAGCATTCGAAGCCATCTTGACAGTAATTTAATTCTAAGCGGCTGAGTACTACGAAAAATTCTATATTGGACCATCAGAGTTTTTGTTTCAGAAACACCATTGAGTTGGAAGACAGGGGCACCTAACATTGCGATTCAGATTTTTTTTAACGAGGTAAGGTTCAGTGTACGGAAAAGGCAAGTTTGGAAACGAGGAACATGTTTTGGTATTGATGACTCTAGAAAATTGTCATGGTGCGAAATGACCAATACATTACCGACGCCTCGTCGATGAGACTCAGTTGAATGCTGTTGAATTTGTACGAGTTTGGTCTTGGAGATGACTGAAATAAACCACTTTCTTTTTTTCCCCAGCAAATAAAAATGTGCCATAGTATGGGCTTGGTAAAGGAGACAGCTCAATAGATAAAAACAAATATACGAAATGTGGCATCCCAATGTGCACACTTTGTTACTGGTCCACTAAGGAACCTTTAAAGTGGTTTGGAAAATCTAGAGATTTTTTGTAGGTCGTAAATAATGAAATCTCTTTATCATTTGACATTCTTGAAGTGAAAGTTTGCCGAAGTAATGTTTTGATAATATTTCCTTGCTACGTCCACCAAGTAATCTGTCTCGTCCAAATAAGGGGAAGAGTGGACACTTTTCCCGTTGTATTTTAACTTTTGATAA